AGGTGAACTCACCATGAGAGTGACTGATCAGTGTGTGACTGTCAATGTATTTTGAACTCTCAAGTATGTCGATGACACCGAAGAATGCCAAGATATTTCTGAATTGAACTCAGTAATTGAATAAGAAGCTGAACAACTTTGCCATAACAATTTTATTCAGCTGGCAGAAAAAGACTATTGGATGGATGATGAAAGCTTAGTGGAGCATGACAACTTCCCAATTTTGGAGGAGCAATCTAGCTTACTACAATCAAGATTATGTATGAATTTTGAATCTTTGAATTTTTATGAATTTATTCCTCCTAAGCCATCTTTATTGCATGCACCTACTCTAGAGCTTAAGACTTTGTCAGGGCATCTTAAATATGTTTATTTGGGTAGCGATAACACTTTACCAGTGATTATTTTCGCTAACCTTACTGCTAAACAAGAACAAAGTTTGTTAAGTGTTTTGATGCAATATAAGAAAGCGATTGGGTGGACTATGGCTGACTTGAAAGGAATTAGTCCCACGATTTGAATGCATAAAATTATGCTTGATGATTTCTACAATAATTCGATAGAACCACAAAGAATGCTCAACCCTATTATAAAGAAGATGGTAATGAAAGAAATTTTGAAATGGCTTGATACTGGAGTGATTTACCCTATATCAAATGACTCATGGGTGAGCCCTGTACAATGTGTTCCGAAGAAAGGAGGCAAGACTGTGATTACCAATGAGGATAATGAGCTATTACCCACTCTCACTGTTACTGGATGGAGGATATGCGTGGATTATCGTAAACTCAACAAATCTACAAAGAAAGACCATTTTCCTCTACCTTTCATCAACCAAATTTTGGATCGATTGGCAGGCAAAACATTTTATTGATTTTTGAATGGGTACTCAGGGTACAATCAAATTGCCATCGTACCAGAGGACCAGGAAAAGACTACATTTACTTGTCTCTATGTCACTTTTGCCTTTAAGAAGATGCCTTTTGGACTGTGCCCCGACAATATTTTAGCATTGTATGCAAGCTATATTTTCAGACATGGTTGAGGATTTCCTGGAGATATGCATGGATGGCTTTTCTATTTTTGGAGACGATTTTGTGCGATGCCTCGATAATTTGGCAAAAGTTCTCAAAAGATGCGAGGAATCTGATTTGGTCTTGAATTGGGAAAATGTCACTTCATGGTGACTGAAGGCATTGTGTTAGGCCACAAAATATCTCAAAAGGGCATTAAAATAGATAAAGTAAAAATTAAAGTAATTGAAAAATTGCCACCACCAACTTCGTTCAAGGGTATAAGGAGTTTTCTTGGACATGCTGGATTTTATAGAAGATTTATCAAAGATTTCTCCAATATTTCTAAGCCCTTATGCACATTGCTTTAACAAAACCAACCCTTTGTATTTTACAAGTTATGCATCAGCCCATTCACTAAGCTGAAACAATGATTGATCTCGGCACCTGTTGTAGTTCCTTCTGATTGGACATCACCATTCAAGCTGATGTGTGATGCAAGCGATTATGTCATAGGAGTTGTTTTGGGGAAACACCGAGGTAACCTTTTCATGTTATGTATTACTCTAGACGCACATTGAATGAAGCATAATTGAACTGCACTACCACTGAGAAAGAATTACTTGTCGTGGCATTTGTTTTTGATAAATTTATATCATACCTAATAGGCACTAAATTTATTGTTCACACTGATCATTCGGCTATAAAATACTTAGTGAATAAAAAGGATGCAAAGCCTAGACTTATTAGGTGGATCTTATTTTTGCAAGAATTCGACTTAGAGGTTGTAGATAGAGAAGGTACTAAAAACCAAGTTGCTAATTATTTATCTATGCTAAAGAACAATTATGAACGTCATGACACTGTAGACGTCCAAGAGGAATTTCCTGATGAGAAAATTTTATATGCCACGACAATCCCGTAGTACGCTGACCTTGTTAATGTTCTTGTTAGCAGAATATTGCCTTTTGATTTGGACAACCAGGGTAAAAATAAGTTCAAGCATGATACAAGGTATTATTTTTGGGACGAGCCATATTTGTTTAAGCATTGTGCTAATCAGCTCATTAGACAATGTGTACCTGAAGAAGAACATCGCGACATTCGATACCATTGTCATTCAGCACTAAATAGAGGCCATTTTGGAGGAGCAAGGACTACTGTTAAGGTCATGCAATCAGGCTTTTACTGGCCAACTCTATTCAGAGATGCTCAAGCATTTTACAAATCTTGTGATTGATGCCAACGCACTGGAAACATATCCATGCGACATGAAATGTCACTGCAAAATATTTTGGAAATAGAGTTGTTTGATGTGTGGGGCATCGATTTCATGGGACCATTCCCATCTTCCGGATGAGATCTATATATCTTTTTTGCTGTGGATTATGTGTCCAAATGAGTAGAAGTAATAGCAATATCAAGAAATGACTCTAAAACCGTACTCAAGTTCTTGCACAAGTATATTTTCACTCGGTTTGGAGTACCTCGAGCTATCGTTAGTGATGAATGAACCCATTTCGATAACAAGTTGATTTCCAAGGCATTAAGGAGATATGGAGTTCGACATAAAATTGCCACGACATATCATCCGCAGACAAATGACCAAGCAGAGATATCCAATCGAGAGATAAAGCAGATTTTAGAAAAGTGGTGAACCCAAGGCGAAATGATTGGTCACCAAATTTAGATGAAGCACTTTGGGCATATAGAACAACATTCAAAACTCCTTTGGGAATGTCACCATTCAAGCTAATGTATGGGAATGCTTGTCATTTCCCGATTGAACTTGAACACAAAGCATACTAAGCCATTAAGCAATTGAATTTTGATGCTCAGTTAGCAGGGGATAAGAGATTACTGGAACTTAATGAAATGGAAGAGTTTATAGCACAAGCATATGAAAATGCATGAATATACAAGGAAAAAACTAATAAGTGGCATGACCAAAAACTGATGCCACGTCATTTTTATATTGGCCAATAAGTATTGCTTTATAATTCCAGACTCAAACTGTTTCCTGGGAAGCTTAAATCTTGATAGTCATGGCCATTTGAGGTGCATTATGTTTATCCCTAATGAGCCGTTGACATCAAGAATATAGATGATGGGACAATTTTCAAAGTCAATAGTCGGCGTCTGAAAGCTTATAATGGAGTTTCACCACTGCACAATAAGGCAGTGTTATATCTGCATGATACTGAAGTGTGCCCAACTGAGAACCAAATTTTGATGCCACGACATTGAATTCCGTTGACTGTGCATAAATAATAATTTTAGTTTTTCCTTTATTTTTATTTTCATTTTTTATTTTTATTTTATTTTGTAGATAATTTTGATTTGTTTATAGGGGACCCACATTACTGCATCCGTGCAAGGAGCGGTTACCAAGGGAGGAAAGGACAAATCAATTAATTGGGGAAAAGATTTTTTTTTTCATTTATTTTATTTTATTTCCTTATTTTAACTTTTCTCTCTCCATTGTCTTGTTCCATCACAATTACTTTTACAGTTTACTTTTTTCTTTTCCCACCTACCCATATACCCCCGTCCACTCATTCTTTCAACCATCCACTCACTTAAAAAAATTTCTTTTTACTTTTTCCTTTATCTTTACTCACTTCTTCTTCTTCCTTCATTTTCCCCCATAACCGAAATTCCTCAAGTTTTCCAAGCACAAAGCTCACTCTTTTTTTCAATTTTTCTTTCTTCAAAACATTGAGAAAAAAATGGTGCGTACAAGACCCACAGAGGCAGAAGCTCCTATTACTCAGCAATTCAAGAACGATGAAGCAAAAGCAAGATTTCAAAACTTCAAAAATATGAAGTTTTTCTTTGAGTTGGGGTTCAATTTTATGGATGAAGTGGATGACGGTTTTGGACCAGACATGATGGATATAATTGTTCCACACAAATGACACAAGTTTGTGAGTCACCCTGGTTCAGTGAATACGTCATTGGTGAAAGAATTTTATGCTAATATTTCCAAACCGAACCAGCATGCTATTTTTGTGAGAGGTAAGTATATTTGGTTTACACCAACTGCTATTAATCGATACTTTCATTTGCAGGGTGTTGAAGAACAATGTACAAAGTTTGAAAATGATGCTAACAGTGCCACTTATGATGGAGTTTTGGAAGACTTATGCTTTGCAAATACCTCCTGGAATGGTCGCCAAACCAGCCACTACTCAGTTAATCGTGAACATCTCCAACCACGTGCCAAACTTTGGAACCATTTCCTAAAGCACAAGCTAATGCCCACATCCCACAATACGAATGAATCTTTTCCTCATTTAATGCTCTTACATTCGATTATGGTAACTCGTTCTTTTGATGTGGGTAGGATCATTGTTCAACAAGTGCAAGAATGTTTAGGTAAAAGGCTAGTGCTTTAGTTTTCCCAAATTTGATTATTGCTTTGTATCGAAAGAAAAAGGTAAGTGAAAATGCCTTTGATGAAATTTTATTTGGAGTTTCGGGTATTACAAGGGCCAGATTACCATTATTGTTGGGTCTTGAAAACATAAAATCTAAGGCCAATGTTCATGAGAAGTCTACAGAGAATGCACAATCTAATGTCGAGGCAAGGATGCTTGCTCTCGAAGAAGCTGTTATGCAAACTCAAACTCATTTACACGCTTTAGGTGATGATATCAAAAATTTATTTGGTTATGTCAAACATAGAGATGTTGTGGTGGAAACAATGTTCCAAGAAATACCTCCCCACGTCAAACAAATTTTCCAGGTTTTCCGGATAAAATTCTGTCGACATTCAATGTCAAGGCATCTCCCGATCCAGAGCAAGATGACGTCGATCCTCCTATTGAAGAACCGACTCCATATCCTCAATGTTCCCACCCCTGACTCACCTATTGTTCTAGCTAAAAAAACACCCAGTCCAGTTGTTGTGCCTGACCCCTCTCCTGCATGACGCAACAACCGACGTACCAAAACATCAGCTAGACGCATAAATGTATCGTATTACTACTCTATCTCTTCATATTCCAGCCCTGCACCATTGCAAAAGAGCATAAGACGAGGAGCTGCCAGCATCTCCAAGGCATCACCATCACAGAAAACATAAGGTACCTCCAGTTGCATCCATTTGTATTCATTTTGCATTTTTATTGCATGGCATATAGTTTTATTTATTTTAGTTCTCTTTAAGCATTAAGGATAATGTTTTCCTTAAGTTTGGGGGAGGTAGTCTTCTTGGTAGAACATGTGCATGATAGTGTTAGTATAACATTATGCCATGGCATCAGTAAGTGGTAGGACAATTAGATAAAATGTCTTGATAATACCTGATGATGATGAACTTGTTAGGCTATAAATTGAATATAAATGACTATTGAGAATGATAGAACTGACTCTAGGGCTTGATGCTTTGTGAATTATTTTTACATGATTTGTATGTTCTCTATACTTAGGAAATTTAGAAAATTTTTTATGAAGGAACTTTAGTTAGTCTTGGCATTGAAATTTAGTATTGTGCTTGAAAGATAAATAAAAATAACTCTCTTATATCTGAGACTGTGAATAAATGCTTAGGCATAGCTGTAGAGGGACACTCCACTTTTCCATGGTATTGTTTGGAACTCTCTTTAATAAATGGAAGTCACGTGCATATGAGTGAATGAAAGTAGTCACGGGATGACTCTACTTAACTAGCTTGGGGTGGAAGGTATGCTCCCTTTCACTAAGAGTGTGGGAAGTAGGTGTGATGAGCTGACTCCCTTCGTAGCAGCACTTGTAAAAAAAGGTAAAATGGGAGTAAAAATATGCTTAATAAATGAGTAAATGCCTTAGCAAAAACTAGGGGACTTGATTAGAAATTGTTTAAATTTATTAAGTATAGATTGGATACAATCACTCACATACACTATCACAAAGAATCTTGACCTAGGGAAAAGTACTCGAATTCTTGATAAGTCTAGCATGTTGAAGCTAATTTTTCTGAGGGTTGAAATTCAATTTTTATCCTGTTGTCCTATTGTTGAAAATTTCCATGACATTCTGCTTATGTTAATTGTTATCAATTGCTTGAGGACAAGCAATAACTTAAGTTTGGGGGTGTGATAAATTCCTAAAAAGGCTACTTTTAAGGTTTTTTCACTTAAGTTATTGTTTGTTTAAAAGCCCATTTTAGTCATTTTAAGATCACGTCGTTGCATATAGTTGCATTTGTGGTGGTATTGTTATTTTATCTTTTAAGGATGTTGTATGAGAGAAAGGTGCAGTTGCTTATGGTGTGTAGGAAATAGTAAGCAGAAGGTCACACTGGGAAGGAATGTCACGACATCACATGCTATTGAAGCAGATTGAAATGCCTTGGTATTTCTGGCGCAAAAACTGACAAAAAGATATTTTGTAAAAGAACAGCTGGCAAGGCGCGTGTCTGATGGTTGTAACTGCCTGCTGGGGACCACTACTACCTGGGAGGATAAGACTCGCGCCCAAGGAGTAACTCTAAGGGTATGATGGGTATTTTGAGGGTAAAAATCCCATTAATACCCTTATATATTTTATTATATAATACACCTCACATGAGAGAGAAAAGAGAGAGGATTTTTAGCAATATTTTCTTACCTTCTTCTCCATATCCCTCTTTTCATCCTCTAGTGGCGTTCCTCTATTGACGAGCTCCAAGGAGTGGCGAGCTAGACATCCAAGAGGAGCTAGTGAGTTAAGGAGAGTCTTAGTGGTTAAGGAGAGCTCCGATTGCGCGCGTCGAATGCTTCTTCTCCCTTCCCATTTGTTGCTATTTTTATATTTGATGATGGGTTGTTTGGAACGGAAATATTTCATGGCTTGTTTCATGGATGATTCGAACCCCACCATGAACTAACCTTATTTGGTGGGGTTATTTTCATTGATGTTTAACTTTATTTTAATGGTAGATTTATATTTATCTTTTGTATTTTCTTGTTTTTCTTATGAATGCTTCATCGTCTAAGTTTGTAGGAGGCATGAGAGTGTCCATTTCTTAGATGAAGGCTAGGTGTTCGATAGAAACTTAGCTAATAATACTTGTAGTATTCGAGAGAAAAACAAGAAAGATCCACATAAGCAATGGGCTATAGTATTTTCTTAAGCTTTAAACCAACCTAGTAATACTATATCCTAATCTCTTAGTACTTGAGAGATACTAAGATAGGATTTCAATGACTAAAAGGGGTAGTTATTATCAATAGTGTACGCTTCCATAGCTGAGACTGAGAGGAGATGCCATGGCATTCTATTCTGTTCGGTTCCTTTGACTAGAGATAGTTGGAGCATTTTCAGCAAACTCTGTCGAGCAAGTGAAGTTTAGATAGATTAAATCTACCTGAGAGATAAGTTTTAGCATACTTAAATCAATCCCTACCATTCATTCCAGTGGAAGCTTGTTGTGTGAGGATTATCAAACTATCATTTATTTTTTGTTTTTACTATTTTTCATTGCCTTGACATTTCAATCATTTTCAATATTATAATCTTCTCTTGCCACTACATTTCCATTTGCTGCCTCATCAGACTAATCCATATCCACCAATATACAATTTCCATTGCCTTGACATTTGCTATTAGTACATATCAACACTAATTGTACTTAGATAGAGTAGTGCTTTGCTTTGGTTAAACTTTGTAATTTCCACCAATCCTTATGGAAACGATACTCACTCATCACTTTATTACTTGAGCGATTGTGTATACTTGCACATTATTTTCGTATAATTTTATAGTACTCACAACACGCAACACATGTCATCTTGTTTTAACTTGTTTTTCTTTTGTACTTATTATGTTTAAATGTTTGTAAGTCACTTGACATTTGAACATTTTCAATAAAATGCTTCTTTCTTAGGAAATGAACAATGAGCAAATTTCAATCTTGAAATTCTTTTAATATCATTTTCATTAAAAACTTTTTAATAATTGAGGTTGTAAATCTATGACAAATGACAATATTGAACCCCTGTAAAATAAGGACCCCTTGATAAGAGGGACGTTCTAGAGGTACATTCTAGATCAGGGTGTTTAGGTCAGTTTTAGGGTAAGGGAAGTTTAGTCTCTGGTTAGGGATGATAAGAGGGATCTTTTGGGGTCCTTTTAGCTAGCTCGCCACTGCGGTTTCCGCCATGGCTCCCTTTCTCCAACGAGGGACGTTGAGAGAGTTTTATAACTCTCTCCCTCTCTGTTTTATGAGAAATGGAAAATGAGAGAAATATGAAAAATAAGCCTATTTTGGGGGCTTATATGCGTCACACAAAACGGTGCCGTTTTGGCACAACCCCTTCCGTGTTTTTGGGCTTGGGTATAATAGCATACCATGTCCTTCTTGTTTTATAATCTCACCATTTGGACTATTTAATGAAATTTTACATTATTATGTTTCGAGCACTCTTTTTTTAAATGTTGTATTTAAGTCATATATGATGTATTGTATTATTTCAGTTAATATTGGATTTTGGTTACAATATTCATAAATATGTCATTTTGGTCATTAATGTGCATGTGATTATATTTTGGTTTAATTTTTATTTTCCCTTACATATTTTAGTTTAGTTTAATTTAGTCATAGCATTATTATGGGTTATTCTCATTTTTAGTACCTATATTTGTTTAAAATGTTTATTGTGGTTCTGATTTGTTCATAATGGTTGTACGGTCCTTTAAGTTTATGTTATTTTTATTTTGGTCTCATAAATCATTGAATGAACTTATTTTATTGTTTGTATTTTAATCCTTAATGTTTTCTTGTTTGTATTATAGTCCTTTATTTTTAATGTATGTTTTACATATTAAGTAATTATTTTGCACTATATTAAATAAATACTGTTAGCTCTATTTTATGTAAATATCTTATATTGTATATTTTCAATTGCGTTTATTTCCATTGTATTTTTATTTGTTGATGAGATATTTAATTTTATTTTCAAGAACACAAATGCGTAGAATGAGCATGGAAAGCACCACCTGGTCGAAGTGGTGCGATCTCATACGACATTTTAACGACGTAGTAACTTGAAATAAATCGAGTTTATTTTACTAATTAATTTATTTTAATGATGCAATGTGTATTATTTTAATTAACAATTTATTTCATTTTATGTGAATGTAAGCGTCGATTTTTTTATTTATTTATTTGATTCACGTTTTCAAATCAATGAAGGAATATTCTTTTACAAATGAGAAATAGTGGAGATAACTTTCCCGATGGAGGATTGCGAATCTCAATATTTCTTATCGAGTTAAAGGATTTTCTTTAAATAATTAATTCGAAGTAATTTAATAAATGAATCATATTTTAATTTTATATTTGATTCTTAATTTCCACCATTTACGATAACGTGTAAGCGACACAGTACTAATTTTGGGCGCTGTGGGGGTGCTAACCCTTCCCCGCATGTAACCGACTCCCGAATCCATTTAAATATATTTTTGGTAAACGCGGACCAATTTTTGTCTTACAAAATGATTTTTCTTAAAATTGTTTTAAAAGACGTTTTTAAGTGTTCGACCTATCTAGCCCGAAGGTCGATGGCGACTCCTATCCAATTTCATCCAAATTAATTCCAACTCACCAATTTTCAAATAAAAGTAATAATTGTTTTTTAAATAATATTTTAATTGTTTCGAAAAAATGGTTATCACAATTATATTCAAAAAGATAATTTATCATGGAGTCTGGAATTTGACACTTTGTCCTCTTGTGTTGTGGCATACGGAAATTTGGCTCCCTTGGAATAGTTGGATTCTTTGAGGACCTTCAAAAAGCCATGCAAAATAACCATGTTAACATGAAAATTTTGGCACAGAAATTTCAATATCAATCTATTTAACTCTTCTTCTTCTTCTTCTAGTAAATCCCACAGTTTTATATAATTTTGAACTTTTTACCTTATGGGAAGGAAAGGCCTGTCGAAGAAAAGCAAAAGTTGTGCTTTTGGAACCAGCTCCTTTCTCAACCTCTTTATCTCTTCTTCTTCTGCCATCTGCAACATCGAAAAGATCAATCTTTACCTTTTAAAATCATGCATTTTTCTGATCATTTTCTGTACCTTATCCTGCCTAGCCCTTTCCATTTTATACTGTCTGATTAGACTCATTTTCTCGGCTACTTTATGGTCGAACTCTGAACGTTCTGATGCTAGAATGTCGGAGCACAGTATTGGGCATACCGGCCTTATAATCTCTTTAACATGAGGTTTGATCAACACCTGCATAGGCAAAACCAATACAAGATTGAGAAAGGCACATGACATTGTTTGGTTTTGATTTTTGGATTTAGAGCTTAGGTACTATAAACCTCATATTCCTCTGTTGTCCATGCGAGGCCTTGAGCAATAGGGATCAAGGATTTAAATAGCGAAATACAATTGCAATAGCGGCTGCTATTTCGCGGTAGCGTCGTCGTCCGAAATCGATATTCGGGAAAATCACGGTGGGTAATGGAATCACGTCAATAGCGGCCAGTTGCGCCCGTAATTTAACAGGTAACAATGTATAGCGCTGATAACGGGACGTTATTACCGTTATCTACCGCTACTGTTAAAATAAAGCAAAACTAAAACCTTACGTGTACCATCCAGTTTCTCCGCCAGTGAAGAAGTTGAGCAGTAACGACGGGCTTCAACTTTGTAGAAGATGAAACTTGAAACTTTTTGCGCTGATAACGGGACGTTATTACTGTTATCTACCGCGAAAAGAAGGTAAAACTAAAACCTTACGTGCGCCGCCGAGCTTCTCCGGCGATGAAGAAGTTGAGCAATAAAAATGGGGGAGGGGGAGTTGAGAGTGATAGTAGAATTTTTTTTTCAAACAATGAAAGGTCGGGGAAGGGGGAGTTGGCACATTTTTTTTAATATAATTTTAAAGTATATATTAATTTGACACCTTTCCTACCTTTTAGAATTTATAATTTAATCTTTAGTTAAAAATGTAAACTTTAATTTTTATTTAATTTAATCTTAATTTCAGTAATCTAAATTTCTGTAATTTAAATTTTATATTTTATTTTAATTATATTTAATTTAATCATTTGTAAGTTGTGCGATATTTAAAAAAAATTCACGACTGCGACACCCGCAATGATATTCGTTATGTCCGCAAACGTGACAAATACAACGCGATCGAAAACGTGACCGCGATCGCTATTTAAATCCTTGATAGGGATCCTTAGTTTCTCTTCTTCGACCGTCATTTCTTGGATCTTCTTCATGAATTCTTCTTCCTTCACTCTCCCTCGTTTCTGTTAACGTTAACGAGCAATCGAAAATTGTAAGGAACGAATGCCACGAAAGGTCTTGAATAATAGAGTTTTTCAAGTTAAAAGATGAGACCTCAGTTCTTAGCTTGAATGGTTTCCGGGAAGTTGGCTTGACCTGTTTCTTCCATCTCCTCCCACCAATTGTCCCATGAGACTCAGAGCTCTAAAATCCAAAAATGAATACAAATGAATAAAAAACATTTATATCTTTATTTTCACATGTGATTCATTACCTTTATAAGGTAACAAACTAAGAACAAAAATGATAAATTTGCAGAAGTGAGAGTTTGCTTGCATTTCTTTGACTTCTTCCTCCACTAGAAGACCTGCTTGGAAAACTGCAAAACAAGGGAACAATATTAATTGAAATATATTTATTTAAAAAAAAACCCGAATCTGAGAAGTTAAAGAAAAAGGCAAATATATGATTTGCAGATTGTGAACTAATCAATCAATTGCTTCACTGACCTTCCTTGGGTTCCATCCCATGAAGAAGAAACTGAGAAACGCCGATCAAAGCCAAGATTCTGAAGATTTCTGGGAAGAGGATACTGGATTCCTGGAAGAATCTTTCTGGGAATTTGAAGATTTTGTTAATGGGGAAATCGAAAAAGAGGTGCTTGGATTCGAATTCTCGTAATGTTTGGAAACCTTTGGAGTTTTGGATCGAGAAGACCCACTCCCTACTGGGTCTTTCACTGGAGTCCCCTGTTTTGAATGCTTGGAAACCTCCATTTTTTGAGGTGAAAAAGAGGAATAATTCTTTCGAGGAATTGGAAAATAAAAACTGGGTTTTGGTGGGAAAATGAGAGTAAAGTATGAGTTTTGATCCATGTGAAAAAACATGAATAGGAGAAAAGAAGGAAGAGCTCCGTTAGACTCTTTATAACGGCTACTTTTTGGTGGTGTTTGTAGACCGTCGGATAAATTGTTTAAAATTAAGATTCTATTTTACTAACCGTTGGATTATGAGATTTGTATTTCGGGCAATGGTGGGCTTAGTTTTGGGGCAAATTTGGACTAATGGGTTCATTTAGTGTTTTTTACAATGCTTATACAAGTACATTTGTTTCAACGAAAATATTTTTAAAAAATCATTTAGAGAAATTCTTTTCAATATTTAAATGATATTGTATAAATTATTTTCTGTTGTTCGATAAATTTTTTTAATTATAAATATTAAATACAAATAAATAAGATTACGATAACATTTTCACAAATGTTTACATAATTGATATGTATCTAGAATGATAATACCAAACATAATCTAACCTAAGAAATTAGATCCTAATACATTAATATCATCCCATACACGAAATTGATTATTATCAATAATAAGATTGCATTGATTTACTTAGTAAATAATATACTCTCATGCTAATAAAAACCTTAACTTTATTTCTCATTAGACTCAATCTATTGTCATTTACTTTTATTCTTTTGTGCAGTTAAAAATTTTGCTTGAAAAATACAAAAAAAAATTCAATACATTAACATTTTTTCTTTAATTCAATTCAAAATATCTTTACGATTATTAGAAAGTTCTGTGATTTTTTTTTTTTGGATATGGACTGCATGATTTGGGTTTTGTTGGTCCTTCCTTTATTTGGGCTCGCGGATCACTTATTTAATGGAACAATTTTCTAAGTCGAGAGTGTTTCATGTTTAACGATTGCTTCGGATCAAATCAAGCTGTTAAATACAAGGGAGTTAGACTATTTCGATTCCTAGCTGCTTGGAAAAATCATCCTACTTTCTAAGACTTCCTTAAACAAAGAAATATGGGGGAATTTAGAAGTCTTTAGTAAAGCAACCCATAATTGGAGTTATGAGACGTTTGGTCACATCAGTCGCCGCAAATCATTTTTATTAGCAAGAATTCGACGGATAGAAAAATCATTAGATCTAAGATCCTCCTTTCACCTTATTGAATTAAGGACTCTAAAGGAGGAGCTAGACCTGATGCTCAAACATGAAGAAATGTGATGATTTCAAAAATCTCGGAGTTAATAGATCGATAACGGTGACCGAAATACATCCTACTTTCATCGATCCACTACGATTCGTCGCCACAATATGATTCATACTTTTACCAAAAGTAAAGGTGTTCGAATACTTCACTCAACTCCGATCGAGTAGCCTTTGTACTATTTTATACAATACCATTACTAAAGTTGTTGTTAATCGCCTTAAATCGTTTCTTCCGAAATGGGTGAATCAAAATCAATCAAGTTTTGTGTAAGGGATATGCATTACGGATAACATCATATTGGTTCAAGAGGTAATTCAATGAGGAAGAAAGTCGGTCGTAAAGGTTGTCGGTAATTAAAATTGATCTTGAAAAAGCATATAATAGATTAGAATAGAGGTTTATTCATGAAACTTTAAAAGACACCAGAATGCCTTTGGCTTTAATTAATTTGATTAGGCATTGTCTGAGCTCTGTTTCCGTGCAGGTTCTATAGACTGGGGAGCTGATAGAATCGTTCAAACCAACGAGAGGTATAAGACAAGGAGACCCTCTTTCTGCCTATATCTTTGTCCTATATATAGAGAAATTATCCCATTTGATCAATAGTCATGTTGATGAAGGTTCATGAAAAGAAATGAAATTCAGCTGTAATGGCCCTGGTATATCCCACCTTTTCTTTGCAGATGGTCTCATCCTATTTATTGAGGCTTCGATGGAACAAATGCATCTCATTCAGAGAATTCTCAAAATATATTGTGCATGCTCCGACCACTGGGTGAATGGTGCAAAAACACAAATTTTCTTCTCTATAAATATTTTGACAACTGCTCACAATGACATCCCAGGTTTTTTGGTTTTCAAGAAGTAGAAGATTTTCGAAAATACCTAGGGGTACCTTTACTTCACAGTCGGGTCACCAAAGCCATGTATGAGTACCTGCTCGAAAAAAGTGAGATCTTTGGGTGGGTGGTAAAATCATTATCTTTAGCAGGAAGGATTACGTTAGCAAAATCAGTGCTTCAAGCAATATCTGGTTATGTTATGCAGTCTGCTTGGATCCCAAAAGGTGATATGGAAAGACTTGTTCGTAGTTTCATTTGGGGTTATACCATGGAGAATAAAAATAATAATCTTGTAAGCTGGAATATTGTACAAGAGCCATTAGATCAAGGAGGATTGGGACTCAAAGACCTTCACCGCCAAAATAAAGCTTTTCTAATGAAAATAGGTTATAACTTGATTGTGAATGAGGACAGATTATGGGTAAGGGTTTTGAGAGTCCAATACAAATGGCATGATATTGTACCTATTAAATTACATGAACGGAATTATTCCAAATTATGGAAAGGGATTTGCAAGGTTTGGGAGGATGTTCGTTGTGGCATTCGATAGAACATTCGTAATGGCATTTGAACCGATTTTTGGAATGACACCTTGGTCGATAAAGAGATCCCTTTGTGGAATGCTTACATTCAAAGTGGTTGTCCATCTCATTCTCATGTCAACTCTTATTTCTCTGAATCTGAGGGATTGGGATGGGGATAAATTACAAATAATGCTACCAATGAGAGTGCTTCAAAAATTAAATGCTATTATTCCTTCATAGATTAATCTTGGAGATGATTTGCCCAGATGGCGTTGGGAGGATAAACAAATTTTTACCACAAAATCAGCTTATCAGGTTTTATCAACAATGAATATGGTAGACGAAACCACGATTGGAAGGTCATTTAGAAGACTTGCCACAGTTTCTACAAAACAAGTGGAAGTCTTGTTGTCATCTTCTAGTAATGTAACACCCCAAATCACAAGTTAGTAGTTTCGAATAACCCAAATAGGTCTTAGAGCAAACCAAGTAACCAATTAAATCTTTGGGGTTAATTTGGGCTTCCCCTGAATTGGGCTTGAGCCCATCTAGGCTTAAAAAGGATAATTTTGGGAGTTGACCAAAAGTAGGGGGAACAAAAGTGTAATTTACCCCTAAAGTTACCTAAAGGTTGATTTCCATTTATTAGTGCCTATGTCACGTTTGGAGACTCTATCTGCTTGTCTTCTTCTTCATCAATTTTCAAAATCCTTCCTCCTTCTTAAGTCTAGCAAAGGTGAGACTTTGTTCGCCCTCAACCACATTTCAGAACTTCAAAGGTAATAAACGAAGTCCCAACATCCTAAGCTTTCATCCAAGCCTCTTATTTTAAAATTTGACTAGGGAAAGTTTTAAATGGGGTTTAAAATGGGTTTTAGGGTCCTTTAGTTATCTCAATCTACTTTTAGAGGGTTAAAACCATATTTCTAATCTTTTTAAGCCTCTAGATGAGTTAGTAACTCATTTTCTCATGTTATTGTTAATGAAAGAGATTTGAGAAAGCTCTCAAGCCAGTGACAAAGGAAAGTTGGTTCTTGGGTGATTGAAGACGTTTTTGATAGCTAGGGAGACAAGGTAACACATTTCTAACCTTCATATACCATTTGTGGACCTTTTAGTGCCTTTTCTTAGCTTGTATTAGTTTATGAAGCATATGAGCATGCCTATGGTAGATTCTATTTTGAAGTGTTTTTAAGCATGCAAAATGACTCTTACAAACTTGCATAAGACTTAAACATCATTTGATGGCCTTAGGGGACAAATGGGTAGTGTTAGGTGGCATTTTTGTGCCCAAAAATCGAGCATTTCTGGGTTACAGTCTCGGTACTAGAAGAACAATATTGATATTGTTCCTCGTATAGTTAAATTTCATAAGCTCTTTGGGTCTAGAGTATTGATACTCATTTAAGAGGTATCGATATTGATCTCTAGTTGTCGATACTCAAAGGGTAGTATCAATACCATTTTTAGGTTTAGAATTCTAGTAGCCAATTTTGGTATTGGTACTCAAAGGAGTATCGATACCGAGGGTCGAGTATCAATACTCTAGTAGGGGTATTAATACTAGGTTAATTTTTAAAAACATCGAAGCTATTATTAGTATCGATACTCGGGGTAGTATCAATGCCCTCTCATATAGAAGTATCGATACTAAGGAATTTTCCAAAACATCAAAAACAAATTTGGTATCGATACCTAGTATGCTAGTACTGATACTCCAACTAAGAGTATCGGTACCCTCGTCATTATTTGGATAAGAGACCCTCTTCACTTTAAGAATTCGAGTAGGACGAGCAAACGCCATCGAAACTTAACAAATAAGATTTCATGTAAGAACAATGCTAATAATTATAATCACATCTAGAAACGATATAAAAATAGGAAATCATAAAATTATCCCTTGTATGATACTCAAGAAACACCCAGGACACTCGAGACACTTTAGTAGCAGGGTGAACGTTTGTTTGATAGAAATGTCCAGGCAAGTCTCAATTAGCTCACGAGGCACTTGTTTACCGACCGGGCGTAGATTCCTTAAAAACTCGTAAGGAGTTGGTTGGTCGAGTGAACGTTTTCGATGTAGAAATTTCGGATCTCACCCTTGGTAGGCTAGAGGGGTGTATGTCTCTGAGATGTAGTGAAACCCTCCAACCACGCCATAATGCCTACCTCTGTATGTATGTTTAGCTTAGCATCTTCGTATGCTAATATTTACATTTACTAGCATGTGAATGTAGAGGACGCAAGTAGTATAGTTTGGTTATTAGTGTGACATTGAGCCTGTGAGCTCGACGTTCAGAATTTGTTTTCATGCACAGGTTAAGAGGAGCATTCAAGGAGTGCATTGTGCAGTCTGTATTCTAGTTTGACACTATAATACCCCAAATTTTTTATTAG